CCGCCCGCCCCTGCCACACTCACCTGGGCCTACAGCGACGCTCTCTGCGTCCGCTGCCCTGGCGCGCGCCCCCGGATGGACCCCAAGACCCCGGCTGAGTCCCACTTCTCTACTCCGTGGTCCTGGCCTTCTGCGCACCACCTAGGCGAGTGTCTGATCCCAAAGACGCGGCTCGGCGCACCCCTCAGCTCTCCTCAGAGCTGGACCTCCGCCCGCTGCGCGCGCTCCGCTCCGCAGCTTTCAGAACTCCCGCCAAACCCTCGCAGGCGGGCCACGCCCGCGTCAACGGAACGTCTCCCCGCTCTTCGCGGCCCCGCCTTCTAGGAGCTTCCGCCGTCGCTGGCGGGCTCGCTCCGAAATAGGCCCAAGCGACCTGAATCCACACAGAGTTAGGGACTGTTCTCTGTCCCTTCTTCCCCAGGGACCGATCTAAACTTTTGGAGCGGCTGCCCCGTTCTCTTTACCAGACGGAGGACTACAACTCCCAAGAGGACGCGGGTCGGCCCGGGACTACGGCTCCCAGCATGCACCGTCGGCGGAGGCCCGACTTCCGGGGGAGGAGCCTGGCTGCGGGGAAGGTGTGGTTTGTTTCCGTAGTGTGCCCAGGTGGGCTTTGGGCCCTTCGGGTCGCTTTGCGCCTCGGGCTGAAATTACCGGAGACAGGCGTTTTCCAGCCCTTTGAAGATGGTGGAGCTGAGGAAGCTTGAGAAAATGGATGAAACTGGGAAATGGATCTAGCAGGAGGCAGAAATGCCTGCAGTATTAGTCAATCTGTGGTGCTTTAGTGGCGACTCGGACTGCAGAGGCGTTGAATTTGGTAAGGTAAACCTATGGTTTACCGTAAAGTTTAAGTCCAGTTTTAAAGGCGGAGTAGGGTTTCTCTGACGTAGCAGAGACGGAAGGCAATATAAGCAGAGCGTGGACCTAGATACTAACAAAATTCACGGAATACTGTTACATGACAAGGGAAGGAAAGCGCCATAGCAGGTGCTAAGATGAGAAAGCTACCTTTAGTTTGGTTTATAAAGGAGCCCGTGTGTGTGTATGGGACCAGCAGAACGGAGAAGAAGGGATTGTGGCGTGGTCATCCTCCCTGGGGGGTGATTTCTCGCTTTCTGTCTCTGTCTCTGTCTGCCTGGCGAGCGCTCGCGCCCTCTCAAAAAAATAGCAAACAAAGGAGCCTGTGTAAGGAGTTTTGGTCTTTAATTCCGTAGGTAATTAGGAAATAGGAGTTTTTAAGAAGACAAATGATATAATGAGACCTCTTTTTTCCCACGGTTATTACAATACTTTGTATTTGTGAGATGCCTTAAACTTGAGAAAGTTTGGGACCAGCAGATGGCATGATGGTTACGCTGCTGGACTCCCACTCAGTTGAACCATGGTTCCAGTCCTGGCCCTGGGGGGCTTAAAACATACCAGACGCGTGTGTGCCAAAAATTCCAGGAGAGGGGGGGTCGGCAGGTGGCGTGGTGGTTAAGAGCGCTGGATTCCGCTCATGGCCAGCCATGGTTCCAGTGTCGGACCTGGAGGCTCGCTTTCCTTCTCTCTCTCTCTCTGTCTCTCTCTGGTCAAAATTTTAAAATGATAATAACAAATGGAATTAAATAAATAATTCTTAAAAAATTCCAAGTGAGGAACCAACAGTTTGTGTAATGGCAATGTTGCTGGACTCCCATGTAGTAGACCGTGGTTCCAGACCCTGACCCCCCCTGGCTTAAACTCAACGCCAGGCGCGTGTGAGTTGACCCCCCTGGCTTAAACTCAACGCCCGCGCGTGTGAGTACGTGCCCAAGATCCCGAGAAGAGAATGGAGAAAAAGGGATTGCAGCAGGGCCATCCCTACTAGGGGGTGATTTCTCGCTTTCTGTCCCTCTGTCTTTCTGGCCAGCTCATAGGCCCTATAGCAAAAAAAATTTCTCATATAAAAAGAAAGTTGACTAAGGTGTTGTTTTTTTTGTTTTTTTTGGTTTTTTTTTTGTTTTTTGTAAAGGTTATTTTTAATTATCATTATTACTTTTTTTTTTTTTTTTTTAATTTGCTACAGAGCATGTGCACTCACCAGGGAGAAAGAGAGAGCCAGAGAAATTGAGAACGCAAGGGGCCGGGTCCTGGACTCAGAACCATGGTCAAACACCTGCTGACCCCTTAACAAAGTTTTTATTTAATCCTCAAAGCATTACCTGTGGCATTGAAGGACAGGTGTCAGGAGAGTGAGTGAAGACAGAAAAAAAAAAAGAAATTCTTGCAATATTTCAGGCATGAAGTGAAGGCTCCAGTTAGAGCAATGATGAAACAAATTCAGGAAACATTCTGGATGTAAAAACAACCCAACTTAATAATTATAATAGATAATACCTTAAATAATAGTGAACTCTCTTTCATACCAACAATACTCACCATTTCTCCAGTTCCTCTTACACTTTCTACTTAGAGCATCTGCAAACCCACAGCCTCTCCTTGCTGAGTCAAGTTATATGATCTTGACCTTTCTGGCTAGGATCGATTAGATCAGCAGGCAATATTTATTTGACCCAAAATTGGTTATTCATATTTTTGCTTCTGGAAATTTGGAATTGGAGAGAGTCAAGTCTGAGTTCAGGAGTTTCATGAAGCAAAGTACATATAGGTAGTTGTGTAGACATCAAAACCCATCTGCAGAAGATTAAGAAATTGAGCTGGCAGGTGATGTGATAGTTAAGACACTGGACTCCTGCATAGCAGAGTGCTGTTCAAGTCCTGGATCTTGCTTTCTCCCTTTCCCTCTCTCTCTCTGTCTCCTTCTGGCCAAATTAAAAAATAATAATAATAATAATCAATAAAATAAAATAATCCCTTTAAAAATTTTAATAAATTGAAGGCTAGCTATTAGTACAGGGGTTAAGGTGGCTGGATCCCAAATAGCTGACTGCATGGTTCAAGTCCTGGACCTAGCAGTTTGAAAAACATGCCAGGCTCTTGTGTGTGTGTGTGTGTGTGTGTGTGTGTGTGTGTGTGTGTGTCTACAATACTGAAAGGATAATGGAAGAGAAGAAAATGCATTGTGGCCATCCCCATGGTGGGGGTGGGGGTGGTTTCTCATTTTCCTCCTCTCTCTTCCTCTCTAGCAGGTGCATGTGCCCTATATCAAATATAAATAAATAAAAACTAGAAATAATTGAGATACAGACCAAAAAAGAAACCATTTTGAATTTTGGCTCCTTTCATCTTTTTTAAGAATTCCTTTATTTAACTTCACTTATTTTAATTTGACCAGAGGGACAGAGTGAGAGAGAGAAAGCGAGAAGGCAAGCTGCCAGGTCCAGGATTTGAACCATAGTTGGCCATGTGGGAGTCCAGCGCCCTTAACCACCACACCACCTGCTGGCCCCAGGCTCCTTTCATATTTGAGGCTTAGCAGCATTTACTGCTCTTGAGTTCTGTGAGCTATCCCTACATTCCAATAAATACCCCTTTCATTTTTTCTGCCTAAACCAATTCTAGTAGTTTTTGTTCCTTTCTTCAAAAACAGCCCACTGTAGAAGTGGAATATTATTGATGATAACATGCTTGATTGGGTCACTGTGCAGTTTATTCTAGATGGGAGATTACATTTAGTACGCTGTGATGATGCTCAGGGAATGAATGTTAGGAAAAAAAAAAAACGAAAACAAAAAACAAGCAAAAAAAAAAACGGTAAAACTATTCGTACCATTTAAAAAAAAAAATGGATATTTGATGGCTGCAGTGAGCGGTATGGGCCCAGTTGGGTTCTACTTTATAGTATGCTCTTTTTACCCAATGGGGTTTAGGCCTAAAGTCAGACTTGAGTTCATGTAGAGGCATGTGTCAGCTGCGATAACTATTGGAGAGACTAAGACTAATTAAGATCACTGACAGATCATTTGGGGAGGGGTGAGGCACGGAGGGCAATCGGGGATGACAGGGACAATGTGGGAGGAGGATGGGTCATAACAGAGGGAGGGGGATGGGGAATCTAGGATGGTAAAACAAAAGGCAAGGTATGCAGGACACAAGAATTGGGAAATTATTTGCTGAGAACATATATGTTGACGTGCTTGATTGAGCCAACGCACAGTATATATTGGATGGAAAATTCATTTGAGTGTTGCGATGGGAAAAAAAAATTATAATAAAAAATAAACTATAAAAAAAAAAAAAAAAAAAAAAAAAAAAAAACAGCCCACTAAGAACTTGAAAATTGGGTCAGCCAGTGGCATGGTAGTTAAAGCAGCTGAATTCCATAGGGCGAAATCTATAGTTTGAGTCTTAGACCTGGCAGCTTGAGAAACATGCCAAGTGTGTGTGGGTACATGCCCAAAGTCATTAAGAGGAGAATGGAGGAGAAGGGATTGTGGTGTGGCCATCTGCCCTGGGGAGTGATTTCTCACTATCCCTCTCTTTCTGTATGTCTCTGGTAAGTACATGGGCTCTATAGCAACACTAAAAACAAAAGAACTTTAAAATAAAACAAACTATATTTCCTGTTAAATTAGTAGTCTGTGAAGATATTTATAAAAGTATAATTGGGGGGACCAGCAGGTAGCATGGTGGTTAAGGCGCTGGACACTCCCACATGGCCAACCATGGTTCAAGTCCTGAATCTGGTGGCTTGTTTTCTCGCTTCCTCTCTCTCTCACTCTCACCCTCTGTCTCTTTCTGGTCAAATTAAAAAATAAGTGAATGAATAAATAAAATACAATAAATAATTATTTTTAAAAGTATAATTGGAAATATTTTTCAATATCTTCTAAACTGTAATATCAATGATCTATCCGAAAGTACCAAGGAAGCAACTTCATTTTTAGTTTTTGCTGCAGGCGCTTGTGCTCGCAAGGGAGAGAGAGGGAGAGGGAAGAAATTACTCCTCAGTATGGACAACAGTGCCACAATCCCTTCTCCTCCATTCTCTTCTCCAGACTTTGGCCACACATGCACAGAAAGGCATCCAGAGGTCGGTCAGTCTTTCTTTCTTTCTCTCTCTTTCTTTCTTTCTTTTAACATTTACTTATCTAGTTATTTGTTGTGATTTTCAGGTCACTGGGTGTAGGACTTGAACCATGGTCAGTCCTGTGGGAGTGCAACACCTCAACCACCACACCTCCTGCTGACCCCCAGCATGTTTTTTAAGCCACCAGGTCCAGGACTCAAACCACACAGTTGGACACGTGGAATCCAACTACCTTAACCTCCATGCCACCCGCTGAGGAAACTTATTTTTTATTTCTTTTTAAAAATTTAAGAAAAAATAATTATTTAATTTTATTCTTTTTTTTTTCTTTAGAGATTTTTGCTATAGGGCGCGTGCGCTTGCCAGACAGACAGAGAGAGACAGAGAGATAGCGAGAAATCACCCCCCAGGGGGGATGGTCACACCGCAGTCCCTTCTCCATTCTCCTCTCGGGATCTTGGGCACGCACGCACACGCGCCCG